CACAATTTTTTTGAACTAAAAGTTCATTTCCAATTAACACAACATTCTAACCTATATTTATTAAATTATAGCCACTATTCATCAGCTTCCATTTAAAAAATTTTTTTACCTTGATTTACTCCTTACTTGAAATTTACTGAAAATATATTCGTAAATTTAGCAAATGCAAACGTATCTAGAAAGTGGTCGTGGTAATTTTTGAAATTTAAAAATAGGGTTTCATTTCTTACGATTTTTTAGTTTTTTGCTTCAAGTCCCACTTTTCATTTATTGAAAGCCAATCCAGAACTAAAAGTCATGTTTTCTCTCATAAAAAATTTCGAAATAAAAAACCAGAATCTCATTTGAATATATAAATTACATTTTCGTTCAGCATTCTGCTCAGTTAAAAACTGATAAGAAAATTCATAAGCAAAAATCACTAATTGCAAGAACATAAAAACTTCAGCAACTTCCAAACTGGTACAAAGAAAAATTTACAAATAATTTCCTATAATTGCTGATGTCTATAAGAGACCAAAAAGAGATTATTTTCGGAAAAATTATAGCTGAAATTAATCTGCAAGATTTAAATTGCAATTTTTCTAAGCACATATAAATAGTTGAATTCAGAAACTTGAGTGAAAGGAATATAAGAACTTTACTTCAAAGTTTTCAATTTCTAGGTTGCATAAAGCTGTCGAGTATTGTTTTGTGCTCGATTTTGTGTGTGTCATGAATTTTGAAAGTATATCAAAATTTCGGAAAAACCATTCCGGAAGTGGATAATTCCAGAAACATTTTGGACGATGAAAATTAAAATGAAAATAAAAACAAATGGTAGCATATCTTTATATAAAAGTTGTAAACCTCTAAATACATGCTGGGACAAGCTGTTTTAAAGCAGTTTCTATTGCCTCCTTTTGCATTCCAATCATAGGTGCTTCCATCCCACAACCATTAATTTCGATGCATGCCGAATATGTGCTTCAAAGGACAAGACTTTTGATACCTGAAATTTGAAATGATATCTTTCAATACTCAACTAATACTATGATTGAAGCTGAAAAACTTTGTTTGATATTTGGATTTCAAGGCTTCAGCTTACTGATAATTTTTCTCCAAAAAATAGCCAATTTTTTACTCGATTAGAAAAAAACTTTAAAATTTTCTGATATTTTTGAGATGAATTGTTTGCTCCAATGATGCAAATGGAAGTACTGCTTAGAATAATTGAAAATAATGGCCATAGATTTTATAATGTTACAAATACACGTGCAATCGTTGCAAATAATTTATAATTTTATGCTAATTTAATTTATTTATAGTTTCATTCAAAATAATACGGTGTTTGACTCAAAGCTCATTACTGCTGTCACTATAGAAGGCAATTACTGATGTAAAAATACCGACTGCTGAATCAGTTATGTAAAATGTATTTAAATAATCATATTGTGTTATGCTTTCTATTATTCTCGTATAATAAAGGCTCTAAAATTAACCATATTTTTATGCAATTTATAAATAATATAAATTTATAAACAATGAAATTTGATATCTAATATCAGTATTAGTAATGACTGATAGTGGGTTTCAAAAATCAGGAAAGTTCTGACAATAAGTTGATCTCTCTTCTGTTTTTAAATTACTTTAATTTCGAATGATTTTATCACAGTTCAATAGAATCTGAGTCGATAACAGTGTTACTTGAGTAATACAAAAGTAAACACAAATCAAGCAAGAAAATGATGGATGAATGAATGAGTATACGAGAGTATATGTCATGAGCTTAAACACTTGCAGAGGTGAATCATAATTGAAGCAAATCAATTGTAACATAGTGAATCAAGGCAAAACGTATGAACGACTACTGATAAACAAGGAAACATATATAGATGCAAAAACTGAAGTATTTCGACGTTAGATTATCAAATTTTTTCAGAAGGACTGGTTGCAAATCAGAGTTAATGACCTGGAAATGAAGACCATAATTTAGAAAGTGATGTTAAAATATTCTGCACAAATAAAATCCAAAAAACAAACTTGCACTTAATTTAAGAACTCCCTGCGTCACATTCTTTCAAACGAAGTAAGCATACTTTCAAGACACATCGTGATCACTGATGAAAATCAGTGATCCACTTACATTCATCAGATTACAACAGCGCACATAAAGTTATTGTGACTGAATTAGTTCTTCTGATGTCAATAATAAAAGTGATGAATAAGAAGGTAGCTAATTAAAATTGAAGTACATGAAAAATAACGTCATAGACTACTTCTAATTAAATTTAGTTTGCATTTCTGTCAAAATGTATTTCAATTTCGGTTTCAACTAGTTTGACTGTTCCAAGGTCATAATAAGAACATAAGGAGCTAAAGCAAATACTGTTTTGCATCTTCTCATTAGTAAAACTGATCAATGTAGAAAACTAGTCACTATCTATTAAAAACGTCTATTCTTTTGAGTTAATTTTAAGTTTCGTTAAGATCAATTTATATTTTAAAAGCAATTTACATATTTATTTAATGGTATTATTTTGATACAAAGTATAATGTATAAAATGGATGCACGATTAACTTGCTATAGTTGTTGATCAGTTTTAAGAAAATTGTGGTGTAATCATTATAGCTGATGTATAGTTCATCATTTTATTCATTTTAGAGGTCATAATGCTCATGTATTCAAAGAAATAATAGAATATACAACGAGCATTTACTAGCAAATTTATGGTGCTATTGAGTGCTAAAAAAATTGAAATCAAAGAGTAATTAAGAGCCATTTTTCATTTATTAAGCACCAAAAATTTTTCAAATGAAACGAAACTGAATTAATGATTAATTAAAATGAACTAAAATTTTGCAAGTGTGCATACGAAAACATTTTGAAAAGTTTGCAATCAGTTTTGAAACCATTAAATCACCGCATTACTGTACAAAGAATCATAGAAACCCGTTTCGTTCAATTTCGTTCAAATTCGAGCATTTTGAGAGCATTACAAAAGTTTAGAATGTGACAGTTTTGTCTTGCAACTTAACATACAGATTAATTACAACAAGCAGTTTCTTATTTTCAATGCGGACAGCTTACTGCAAGCATATTAAGAAGTAAAATTAAAGGTATAAATAAGAAATGAATGATTCCAAATGTGCAAAACCCTCTTGTTTTTAAATTAGTTCCTGAATTGATTTATGATCTTAGTCTCTCAGCCATCTGCTTTTCTTTTCTTTGAAGGTAACAGCGAGTAAAAGATAGTCGGTCGGTACCTTAAAGCTAATTTTTCACTGATTGATATATGATTACCTTTTTCTTGGTATAAATCACAGCCTTTGCCATGGCATCACGACGACCACGTGACCTTCCTTCCTTCACTTGCCGCTTTTAGCGAGGATAGCATGAAGGGACAATCAGGTGACCTTTCAGATTGTTTTGAAAATAGTAAGTCCAGAGTTTATTCTACTTGTTTATAGTCGGAGTGAGCATTTTTTCTTATGCTTTAAGCAAGAATTGAAAAACAAAGTCGCGTCTTGTTCTCTACTGTGTGTTTGTATATACGAAATTACCAAGTTTCAGTTCATGACAAGGAACTCAGAATTCGATGAATCAAATTAATCGAAATATTCCCTGATTCTACTCACACTCATCTGAACACTGCGCTCACGATAATTTTACAGGCCTTGAGCCCATCTCACTCATGTTTTACCGAAACCATAATATAGTCCACGCAGTACATCACCCACAACTTCAAACATTTTAGCACGTCTCTCATCACATTCTCAAGATCTCCCGTTTAACCAAATTAACCGTCCGATATTAAGCAAATCAGAAATAACCATGCCATGTCAGACACAAAAAAACTTAGTGTGACACGCGACAAAATTTACTGCCTGGAGACAGATCAATAATTAGTCCTCATTCTTTCCAATCATTTGAGTCGACTTACAGGTCTCCCTACCATCGATAGGACTTTCTAAGATTTCTACAAATTTTCAACATTATGAAGAGGAGAGCATCTCAACAACCAATACTTTGTATGCCGCTCAAAACAAGCTCAAACATTGCCCAGGGAATAAACTCCAAATTTTTATCATTCCCAACAAAGTTTGAGATGTTAGATGAATCAATGATGTAATGTGCCGAACAATCTCAATTCTCTGCGACCGTATATGGTTGAATGATGAATTACACATCACAGATCAATTTGAAAATATTGTTAATGAAAAAATGGTGAAATATTGCAAATCTAGGATATTCACTATATCATGAGGAAATAGCTACTAAATGTAGAGCATCCAGCCAATACATAATGTCAATCTTTATCGCCAAATTACTTCTACATAAACGTATGAACTGAAAACAGTGAAATATCTTCGAATGAATTACGGTCCAAAAAATACTGACACTTCTCTAATCGGTAAAAAAAAGCTTGAAATGACGGACTAAAAAAATCATGAAATTTAAATAAGGCTACTACTTCATATCAACACCAGTGGTAACATGAAAAAGGACAAAAACAACAAGTTGCAAACGATAAGAAATCATGCAATACATATATGATTCTCTATATAGATATGAAAAAACGACCAGAACACAAAACGAAGTAAAAGTATTATTTTAAAAATAATTGAATAGAATGTAAATAAGGATGGAATGCCTCGAGAATGATTCTTCCACCGTATATGAAGAAAATAAACTGGACTTTTGAAAAATCCTGCTTTCAGCAATGCAGCAATGACTTTCAGCAATATATCAGCAACTATATTCCATCTAACAGTACTTCGAAACATGCATTTCCCATATTTATGTCTTTTTTCTTTTTAACGTACTTCAGAATTGATACTATCCTTCACAAAGGCTTCATTTTTGAAAAGTTTGCAAACTTAATGGAATAAATGGCATAAAGAACATAAGCCAATATACTGGAGAAAAAAGACAAAAAAGAAGAAATGCAAAATTTGATCATGCTAGAGCCAAGAACGATAGTTGTATGATTTTTATGTTAAAACTGACTACAAAATCGTCAATTGCCAAGCGCTTCAAGCTGCTCTAGATCTTTCGTATCCAGTGGATGGATGGTGGTACCTGCAACAAACAAAAGAAGATTAAATTGTATCTTCACTGATATTATTTAGAAATAGGCTCTTTCGTACTATGTTAACCTGTCTGCTTCGTCTTTTTTTGACAACGAAAAAATGCTTGTACACAGCTATTACTTTAAAAGTTGTGGTGCTTTATTGGTAAATTTTAAAGTGAAAAACCATCTAGAACAAACTACTGTATTAATAAATATGATGACAGGTTAAAAACGTAGGACTAATATACACAAAATAATTCGAAAGAATGCGTTACCGAAATAGTCAGCAAACTGCTGTACTACACTAAACGAAAAATCATCAGAGACTAAATTAATCGCAATTCCTGCCTTCCCAAATCGTCCCGCTCTACCAATTCGGTGTAAATAAGTCTTAAAGTCTGGTTCCGGATTTTCAGTAAAAGTTACTGGTGGATCATAATTAACTACCATTGACACCTGAGTAACATCGATACCTGAAAAATCCCCTTACTGATTTAAAAAGCCGCTAGTATCATTTGTTCACAAGATATATAATGATATATACAAATATTTTACGATGTACAAAAAAAAAATTTCACCCTTTTGCCTCTGAATTTGCAGTTATCCTACTAAGTTCATATTAAATAATTATTCTACAGCTCTTAGTGATAAGAATAAAATAAAGGTCACCTCTTGCACATACATTCGTCGTCACAAGAACTTTGTAAACATTGTCCTTGAACTGTCGAATAGTCCATGCTCTCTCCTCAATAGACAAATCACCGTGCAACACTACAACCTCATGTCCTCGCTCTTTCATCCGATCAGCTATCCATTCTGCCGATTTACGTGTCTTAAAAATTTTAGAGTTTTATGAAATCCTATTTTTGAACACTACTTTTAATACGTCATAATCGTAATTCCTTTCCCATAATGTCATTCATAGAAACACTAATTGCAGTAAAATGTATTATTTTATACTTTTTCTCTTTTGACAAATTTAATACATTGCTGCCAGAGTCTCGCATTACTATAAAAGAAAAAGAAAAACCAAATTCTTTATCTGTATTACTTCTACTCCCGTCATTTTTTTCAACAGTTCCTGTCATTAAAAAGTAGAAAAGTCAATGCAGATGCCACCGAACCTATAAATTAATCAAAACTGAAGTTAAACAATCTCATATACATACGTAACAAAAAATAATAGCGGAGGCAATCGTTAATCCGCCATATATATCCATCAAAACCTGGTACTTCTCCTCTCTGTTAGCACATTTTACATAAAATTGCTTGATGTTGCTCAAAGTCTGTTCATTTCTTCGTAAACTAAAAAAATAAACAAATATTTCGGAGTCCATGAAACTTAGACAGAATTAAAAACTTTTCTTAATCTAATCGTTTGGTAATTCTTTTCAAGCATGCTTTTAGCCGGAAATTTCCATCGCTAATTTAAAAAATGGATAATTACTGCTTAAATACACAGAGGCGACAATTATATAACTATTTCTATGCGGTAAAAAGTAAAAACTATGATTATAAAGTAAGGCAATTAAACGACATTAACACTGACATAAAAATAAGTTTCGAAAATCAAATAACTGATTTCGGCGGGGATGTGTTTTACAAAAAAACATAAATAATTATGTTCAGCACATATTGTTTTGAAAGATATTAATCAATAAAAAATCAATAATGTCGGAAAAATAAAACTTTCAGTTATTTACTCTGTGAAAAAATGTCTTGTTTTCCAGCTATGTATCTTGAAGTTCTTACTTCCGATTAAACTTATGAACTAAACATGTTCTCCATAATATTCTAAAGGAAATCACAAACAGCACAAGCATCAAAATGGTTATTTTTTTGAGTTTTAGTAAAAACATAATGCAACATTCTTAACAGTCGCAAAGTGATATCTTCAGAATTCCGTTTCGTTTTCCATATAGCGCCGAGTATCTAATATATTTAAATAAGCCTAGTGCTATTCAACAAAAAAATGATGAGGTTTTGCTAGAAAAAAAATGCAAATCAATATGAACATATAAATTAATTTATCTTATATGAATTGCATTAATAAATGATTTTTGATGCCTTCATCTTATTCCAAAACTCTCAAAATTGAAAAATTACAGTAATTCAGAGAAAAATTTTAGCACAGGAAGTAATATAAAGTAATTGAACATATTACGTGATATTGATAGCATCTTTGACCATTGAATCAGCAAATAATCGGACATTTTCATCGAAAGTGGCACTAAACAATAAACTTTGACAGTGTGTGTTTACTTTTTCCAGTTCCCTAAAACATAATAAAAATGAATCATATGAAAAGAAAGAGATCAGTTTGGTTTCTTATGTTAACTGAAAATTCATTCTGCTACTGCGACACCCTTTTATAATCATAATTTAAGAAGAACCGTAGGTTTTATAACTTGAAATCTGAAATAACAAAATGTAAATATCTAATAAGTTTTACAAGAAGAAATTACAGTTCTTTAAATCAAAAATTTATTATATATTTTCAGATTTTTCCAACATTTTTTGAAAGTTGACTGCATAACCCGTACTTATATAGCCGAATACTTTGTTCTTGGTGCCCTTGTTGAGTAATCATAACATCAGCCTCATCCAATATAAAACAAATGATCTTAGACAAATCGATCGCTCTGTACTTTACAACCCAATCCAACATTTTACCCGGAGTGCCAACAATAATCTGCTCTTCAATTTTCTCCCCACGTGATACTTAAAAAATGAAATATGAAAAACACATAATTATTCTACAGCTTACTGTCGTACCTGTTCGTGTATCTAATGAAATGCAAGACTAAAAATTCTTCATGTTTTGCATTTTACATACCAAGACATAGAACATATATTTGATTTAACATCTCCAACATTACTTCCCCGAGGAAAATTAATAACCAAACCTTAAGAAAACGCAAAGAAATGCACTCAACAACAACACAAGCGAAGAAAAGTGTTCACTAAAGCTGCTCTCTCTTTATATGTTACGAAGCGATGAATTATATCTTCTAACTTTCGTATGGAAAACAAACATGATAAACTTACACACTTCACCTCTAACTGCGTATTTTACTCGAATTTCTGGCAAAAATTCTGCTAGTTTCTCCACTACTTGACCAATTTGCAAAGCTAACTCGTACGTTGGTGCAAGACATAAAGACTGTGGCCACTTATTCTGGGGCATAATACGGGAAAGCATAGCAAGTACAAAGGTAGCTGTCTTTCCTGTACCACTTTGTGATTGGGCAATCATATTTATTGGTCTTGAAAAATTTACTGATAAAAACTGTAAGAATATATGAATATATATCAATGATAAATTACATTAACTCCCCATTAAGATGTCATAGCAAGCATTTTTTTTTTAACAAAAGTAGGCGAGTTGGTAAAATAATATGACCAACTTAAGACTTTTCATTCAAATATTTTCATAGAATGAAGGAATTCAAAAGAAAAAGAAAAAACAAAAAAAAGTACTTACGGTTCAACCAAAAGTAGCGGCAGAGCAGCTTCTTGAATTTTTGACGGCATATGATAGTCCATTTTATAAAGAGCTTTTAAAAGTTGTTCCTTTCTACAATTTCATTACAAGAATTAAAATCAACTTCAATTGAAAGGACTGAAAATTTTTCTACCACCTTAAACAACAGCTCAATATATAAGGAATCCTTGGTTCTAACGAAAGCTTAATAAAAATGTAGAAAAGATATGAAAACAAAAAACTTACAGTCGTAAATTTTTAAACGATGTAATGGAATACAGTGGTGAATTTGGATCATTTCGATCCATTGAAACTACAAACGGTTCATGCTTGAACTTCTCAAGCTTTTGGTGCAACATTTCACTCATATGAGACACTTCTTCTTCAGACATTGCTAAAAATGAAAACAAAAAAACTGAAATCTTACTATATTTTTCTAAAAATTTGTATGCGAATTCAGAAATAGTTTTTTATACAATGAATGCATAACAAAAATGAACATGAATAATCATCTGTATAAATTTCGTGATACTTTGAATTTTGATTATGGCTTAGAAAGATTTCAGCCTTGATCCGGGCATTAGTAATTAAATAAAATTTATTCTCAATATTTTCATCGTTATTTTTCGAAACATATATACAAACTCACGTTTTTCGTAATCACAAACCGGAAATGAAAAACTATTCTGTTCAATATTGCCTTTCGATTTGATTTGCTTGTCACTATTTGAATTAGTCTGAAGAAGGAACTTTTTTGATATCCTTTATAGGATTATGAAAAAATGTGAAAAACTGAACAAATAAAAGTGATAAAAACCAATACTTAGGTTTATTTAATGATTTTATGAAATTGCTGGGCCAAATTATAAATCATACCTGAGGTGCAAAACCTGGTTCATCGCCTGAAAAGAACACAATAAGATTTGAAACTACTGAATACTCTGGAACTTTTAAAAATGTAGATTGAGAAATTACGAATAAGAAGTCCGCAGACCACCATTTCGAAAAAATTAATCCAGAACAACACAAAAGTAAATTAAAAATTCGACTTTACTTCGTTTTTTCGTATTCAAATGTTGTCCAGATAGATTGCAATCTTTTGCTAAAAGAAAGAGATTACTACTCGGAGCAATTGTGAAATTCCGTAGAATTCTACAAAAATTACGAAAATATTAAAGAATGTGAAAATTTTTGAACATTTTTCATACTAAAAGCATTTTGTATCTTTTCTGAAATCTGCAACTTTCTAATTCACACACTTCATATCTTGCACTAAATTTAAGCTGTATGACAAATTGATTTTGGGCTCGGTGTTTCACTCACAAATTCAATATTATAAATCTAACAAACACTTTTAATGGATTAATTTAACAAAAAAAAACTGGATCAAATTATTTTTACAATTACTTTTGTTGTTCTCCAACAAATTATGTTTACTGTGAATTAGAAAAACTAAAAGCACCTGGCAATGGCGCAGAAACGAATGGTGTGGAGCGTTGTGCAGCATGTTCCCAAAAATATTTTTCTCGTTCCTCCAACGATAATGTTTGCTGTGCTGAAAAATAAGTCAATGAAAAAAAAGTATCAAAAAGAAATCTCTAAAAGAAAATGACCGTGGTCAATTGAGAATAATGTTTGCAGAGATACATAATTGAAATTAAAAACAACTAATTATTTGTCTTATTTTGTAAATTATAAACACCGATAAAAGATGGCCATTGGGAAAGAATCTAAGAGTTAAATTTCAATATTACCAATCAAAATAAGCTTGGAATTATGGACCAAAAATTACAGAGAAAATGAAATGCAAACATTCGATTGTTCATGATATACGACTATGAAGGTCATATAATCTGATTCCAATTCCTGGACGAAAGTCGTAATATAAAATGAAATATTTTAAGGCACTAGCAATGACTCTGACATTTCATATTTCTTAACAGAAATGACGTCATGTATGTAGATAAATATAAAGTAACAAACCTCGTAATGGCTCAGTTCTGAAAGACTGCTGTGTTTTCGATCCAGTGAGATTTTGTTCATTGGTTCGTTTTAACAATGAAAACGAACTCAAATCCCCATCGCTCTTTTCTGAATTTTTACTTGATTTTAACTTTAAATGCTGCTTATTATCCTGTATACACTGTTTATCAGTAGATCGTCTATCATCAACGTCTCGTAAGAATGAGCTTGACATCTGATTCACAAAAGCATCATGTCCACTGTTCTGGCTTCTTGAACATGAAAATGAACTCGAATTTTTATATCTATTTCCTGAACTGTTCTCTCCCGATGAATATTTTTTACTTCGCTGATTATCTCTGAATCGTTCACAACCAGTCTTAGGTGGCAAGAATGAGTTTGAAATCCCGCCCACTTCAGTATCATATTTACCTTCACTTTTTGGAAATGCAAATGAACTCGAATTCCGATGCCTATTTTCTGTGTGTATTCCCTGTCCCGAATTCAATCGCTGTTTACGCCTTCTGATTTCCTCTTTATCTGCATACATTTTATTTTCAAAGTTCATTGATTGGAACGATCCTGTCATCTGTTTCATATCTGCACTATCATGCGCAACATCTCCAGTCCTTGTACGTGAAAACGAACCGGTACGTTTAATGCTTTTAAAATTACAACCCTCCCCTAACTTCATTTGCTCCCTGTTTTCACGGATATCTTCCTTATCTGCATACCGTTCATTATGTATCCTTGACGATTTCCTTATCCTGCTTGTATCGGTATTACTCTTATTGCCTTGATTTTTTGAAAACTGAAACGGATTTCGGCTTTTGGCCATACGGTCTGAATTAATTATATCCGGTTCTACATGTTTATTTCCCTCAAAATTCTCCTCATTCGCACAATTTTCATCATCCGATGAATTCCACATCGTATTGTTATTACCAACGCCAACACCTGAACTAGATCTGTTCCTATTGTATGCCTGACTCGATGTTTTTCCCATTTCATATCGATGGAATCTACTACCTCTAGAGAATCGCCTTAAATTAGTGTTGCGTGGAAAGACGTCCTCAGGACTATGCGATTCGGAAAACGACCTATTAGATTGCACTGCACCACCAAAAGTACTTCCACGCACTCGGTGAGTGAAACCTTTAGACAAGAACAATTTCCAAGTCAGAATTTTGAGTCACTGTATTATATCAAAAAAATTTTTAATAGAAGACAGATGAACTCTAATTACATAAAAATTAATTTAAGTTTTTAAATAAAAACAGTTGGCGTTACACAGCAAAAGTTACCCTAAATCTTATTCGCAATGACGAATCAAACTTTCTTTGTATTAAAACAAATTTACTTCCAAAAGGATTCCTCGTCGATGAAGTTAATGAAGTTTTTCGACCACATTCATTACCAGTAAATCTCACATTTCCTTTACCTCTGTTTGAGACTTTCGTAGATTTCGCATAAGGACCGCGTAAGTTATCCCAATCTACTCTCGATTCTACAAAGCAATAGAAAATCAATAATATGAAAAACGAACGGTATCAATGCATATACTTCCTTCATCTTCATCTGAGACTTTCGAAAATCACCAAGCAAATTGTCTCAATATACTTTCGATCCGACAAAGCGGAAGGAAAATGAAGGGATGAACAACATACTTCCTTTATTTCCAGCTGGGACTTTCGGAGAAGCGAAGCTGTCCCAATCTATTTCCGTTTCTACAAAACAGTAGAAAATCAACAACATAAGAAAATATGGACGGTCCAATAGTGACATATCCTTTACCTTCACTCGAAACTCTCGAAAATCTCAAATCATTACCAAGTAAGCTGTGCCACCTTACTTCCGATTCTACAATGCAGTAGAAAATGCTTGAAAGAAAAGATGAACGGTGACAATGAACATACTTTCTTTATTTTCAGCTGAGACTTCTGGAGACTTCCAATCAGGAAACAAACTGTCCCACTCTACTTTCGATTCT